TGCTGGCTCGCCGTTTGCCCTTCTTAAAGGCTTTTCATGTGGCGCAGGTCATAGTCCTTTATTGTCCGTTCGCCAGCCTGGAGACCGTAGCCTCGTCGAAGAATTGGTCGATACATTGACGCTTAGAAACAGCAGGTCCTCACTGGTCGTACTGCCGGAGTATTAACCAAATCGAACGGGGCTATAACGACGTGAAAGGCGGTGGGGGTCTTTGATCGTGTCCGAGCTTAGTGAATTCGTCTTGTTGAGGTAGGTATTCATCGATTCCGGGCCGTCTGAGAATGAAGATATACTTGAAGTACACCGAGGGATGGCGACCAGGGCCACTCCCGGGAGATGGGATACGTCAACCGGTTAGTACTCTTCCAGCGCAAAGTGAAGCGCCGCGAGCAATAAAACAAGAGACATGATAAAGAGAACCACACACGAATGCCTCGTGCACACTTTGCACCCAAAAATATGAGCAAAAGAACCGGATCAACCACCGTTGAGGAAACCTGGGCACAAAGAAAAGTTTTCAGTGTTGGATCGATCCGCAAGCCAATACGCGAGGTCTAGGTACATGGACCCTCCCATCCCGATTCGCCCTTTCCCCCTGGCTGCGACGAATTTCTGATGGAAGCAATCGAAAAAGAACAGAAGCAATCTCCATTCAAGTCTTTCTAGCCCATCTTCGGCCGAAGCAAATGGCTTCCGCCTCGCAGGTTGTCGTGAATCATCACATAAGCTTTCGATCGTAATTTGGAGTCGTTGGGTGTTGTTGGTCGTAATGGTACGTATAAGTCATCATCTCTCACTTTTCGTACTTGGGAGTCGTCTGCAAAATCGACATTCTGGCCGTTGCAGCTTCTTCGAAAAAGGCTTGGATGTAGTTGTCCTCGGTGAACAAGTCACCCTCTCCTGTAGAGTCTGAGAACAGAAAATCGTAGCCGAAACGGGCGCGTCCGTACTCGCGAGAGGGACGCTGCGGGTCAATGGTGGTGCCGACATCGACGAAAGAGGCGGTCTCCAGATATGGGTTTAGGGAGTCCCGGTCGTCCGACATGAGGTTTTGACTCGATTTGGGCAACGGGTACCATGACCATTCGCGGGATTCCCGTGGGCTGGCTACGTCCGCTGGGTGAGGTCCATGATTGGTGAGGTCGGGCTTGGGGAAACCAGAAGTAGTGAGCTCTGGGGACATCTTCGATTCAGCGTGCTGAGGATCTCCGCGTGAGGTAAATGTGTGGATTTCGCCAGCGACATTGGTCTCTTGAATTTGCTGAAGCTCATGGTCCACAAGCATGCGGATCGCGTGCGAGCGCAGCCTTATCAGACGAGATGGTGAGAAAACGAGCCCATCCAAGAGACAATGAGAGAACCTACGTCTTCGGGGATTCCTGACGGCTGTCCGAGTCGGTGTGACGGGAGAACCTTTTGAACTTTTTGCGGGCCTTGGTGGCCAGCGACTTGAAAGTCGCCATAGGTTCCGGGTGGATGGAGATGAGTGCTTCGAAATTGGATGGAACACTGCGAAGCAGTGGATGGTGTTAATGGTAAGTAGAGAAGATGACTTGACGCAGCCCTCTCATAGAGCGTAAACGCCAAGGCCTGCCGAACAGATGGGGCAGGTGACCGGACAAACCAGACAATACCATTGTCAAAACGCGTCGACGCGTTGGCAGCTCGTCACTCGGAAAACCGAGCCCGGTATCCATCGTGACGGGCTGCTGCAAGCTTGCGGAAGGTCAACTTGAAAGACATTGACCTGTGCTCGTAGAAACAGACCGTTGTCATACCGAAAGTCTTCGCCGTTTTGGCGCATCGCGAAAAGACAGGATCTTGCCACCAACAACGGCAGGACAGGCAGGGCCACACGGAGCCAGCGCTGGCCTGCTGCTTTCCGGTGCCGTCTTCCCAAGCTCTTGCTCCCCCAGTAGGTCTCCAACAGAACAACATAAAACGGAAAGACAACTTGGGCGTTTTAGGGGGGGACCTGGACAGAGGCGATAGAGGTACACTTATCGCAAAGCAGCAGGCGTAGTACCCCACTACTGACTACCTACTCGGCATTGCCGTACTGGGTTATGATGACGTCGACCGAGAGCATCACTCTGTGTACCACAGGTTGACGTACAACCTTTCCGGATCATAACATCAATAGGAGTGCGCGCAACTCCAGACAGTGCCCGCGGAGAGATTGGCGATGTACAATGAACAATACACGTCCGTGATCAACCTGGACGAGATGTCCAGATTGGCGATCAATTTGGGATCGTACTCCTCGATGGGCATCGCGGGCGTAGCTTCATCGCTACGACGGGCGTTTCTGCTCCGGCGGGTGGGATCGGGGGTGCTGACGAGGCAAGATGCTTTCAAAAAGAATCCGATGCCAATTGCTTTGACGCGCTCAAACGCCTGAGCCCCTTGGGCCTGCTCGCTATGACTCCTCTGCGAGCTCGAAACGACTCGAGATGGCCAGGAGTTGACTAGGCACATATATACGAACCTCTGCCGCTACTGCAGCAGCCTTAGAGAATATATGCAGGATTATATCAATAGAGGAACATGTCTTCGGCGATATTAGGGGGAAAGATTTGACTTGTGATAGGAAAGTTGTTAAAAGCACGCATTGACTGAAGACGAATCATCATCTGAATGAAAATCAGATAGACTGAAAAGAGAAAATGCATTTCCGAAAGAGGAGTTGGGATGTCGCCAACCGACCTACTGAATCTAATGTGCAAGAAAAACGCCGTCATCCCACGTCTATGCCTGTATCTAGCAATGGTATTTTGCCGGTTTCGAAGGGAGAAGAGAAGGAAATTCATGTCCGTCTTTTTTGAATTTGGGTGGAGCTCAAGCACCATTGGCGACGCCGTTGCTGGCGACACCACCGACCGTCTTCTTGAGCGCCTGCAGAATGTCGCTCGTCAAGTCTGCGCCATCTTCAATGCCGCAGCTGACGCGGACCAGGTCGTCAAAGACGCCGGCGGCCTCCCTCTGCTCCTTGGGAATACCCATGTGGGTCATGCTCGCCGGCACCTCGATCAGACTCTCGACGCCGCCAAGAGACTCGGCCAGGGTGAAGATTTTGGTGTGCGTGCAGAAGCGCTCGGCGGCCTCCTTGCCGCCCTTGATGCGGAAGGAGAGCATACCACCACCCATGCCGTTGCGGTGTTGCTTGAGCGTGATGGAGTGCTGAGGATGCGAGGCCAGGCCGGGGTAGTTGACGGCGATGACGTCGGGCGATGCCTCGAGCGCGTTTGCGACGGCCGTGGCGTTGGCGGTCGCCTCCCTCGCGCGCAGGTGCAGCGTCTTGAGACCGCGGTGCGCCAGCCAGCAGTCGAATGCGCCGGGAACGGCTCCAATCGCATTTTGCAGAAACGAGAGGCGCTCATACAGCGAATCCGAGTTGAACGCGGCGACGCCCATCAAGACGTCCGAGTGTCCGTTGATGTACTTGGTCACGCTGTGCACCACAATGTCGGCGCCGTGGTCGAGCGGGTTCTGCACGTATGGCGACAGGAACGTGTTGTCCACAACCACCAGAATTCCATGTCTGTGTGCAACAGTCGCTACGGCGCGAATATCCACCAAGCTCAGCGTGGGGTTGCTGGGCGTCTCGATCCATATCAGCTTGGTCTCGTTGGGGCGAATCAGGTTCTCAATGTCAAGCTCGATGGAGGGCGAAAAGGTGACGTGTACGCCGTGCGCGGCAGCGACCTTGGTGAAGTAGCGGTGGGTTCCTCCGTATACGTCTGATACGGAGACGACGTGCGAGCCCGAGGCGAGAGACTGGAGGATGATGGCGGTGGTTGCGGAGCCGGAGGAGAAGGCGAGGGCGTAGCGGGCGTGCTCGAGGGCAGCTACTGCCTTTTCAAAGTTGTCTCTGCATACTTCGTCAGAAATGCTCGGGATGTTCAGGCAATTCTACCCACCGGTTGGGATTTGAGCTTCGAGTATACTCGTACTGGCCGATGGGCTTGCCGACAGCTGATTGCGCAAAGGTGGTGGAGAGGGAAATCTGCCAAGTCAGCGCCTTTCCTTGGTTTGCGCAGTCGCATACATACAGGCTCAATAACGGCGCCAGTAACGGGATCGTGAGGCGATCCGGCGTGTACTGCCAAAGTGCCAAACCTGTGGTCTGGCGATGGGGCTCGCGGCGGGGTATCGATAGGGTGCTCGGTATGCGTCATGGCGGCGGCTATGTACAGGACGACTAGAGGTTTCTGGTGTAGGCCAGGTGAGGAGGCAGAGGTTCTTAAGGCGACGAAGTTTTCAAAGTCTTGGGTAATAGAATGGTAATGGAATGGCAGTCGACGTCGTACGAGGCCGTCCGTGTGGTCGGGCAAAAGGGCGCTGGGGCTCGCTTCCCTTTAAAAGACAATGGAATGACTATAAAGAGTGCACATACAACTCTGCCAACTATGGCGCAATCGCGACTAACAAGCAAGGGCTATAGCAGCAGGCAATAATTCTGCGAGCACCTAGTTAGAACCAGAGACTGCTTAGTAATGCGAAGCGACGGAGAGCAATGTGTAAGCCCGACTGCGCGCCTCGGGCCCTGGTGGCGTCGCGCTTTGCCCCGCATTGTTAGACGCGTCGCCGTCATCCCCAAGACCACTGCACGCTGATGTCTTGGTCAATTACCAATATTGCCAGTATGTTCTCTGTCACTTACCACAATTGCAATCCTTCGACGCTCAGCAATCAGCCTATACTCACCTGCGCGCAGTCTCAATCGTGTCTTCGACCCGACCGGAACTCTCACCCTTCACCACCAACACTTCGGCTTTGGAAACCAATAACGAAGTCCCTGCTTCTGCCTGTGCCTCTCCTAGTCTCCTGGTACCTTCCTCGAACGGTTTTCGCGTCGCTCTTGCCGAAATTCCACCGTGGTTCCGCCGCAAATCGAAAAATCGACCCCTGGCCACGCAGAATAGCCCCCGGCCTCCCAAAACGATACCACAACACCACAAAAAGATTTATTCACATTTTAAAGAGCCAAAAAAGCGGAATACCCCGCGCGGGACTCGAACCCGCAGCCTCGAGATTACTAAGCAGTCCCTGTTGGGGTAATTTACTTTAGAAGTCTCGCGCGCTACCATTGCGCCAGCGGGGCTATTTTGATGAAAGGCAATCAACTTTTTGCAGATATCAATTAACAAAAGTTAAGTGGAGCACTGCCGAGGCACCACTGGCTAAGCGAGAATGACAGGCGGGAATGAAGGAGCGCTCGGCTTCTCACTGTTCCCGCAACCTCACTCACAACTCACTGACCCGTTTTCTCGCCATCCTATTATTCTACCTGCATGAAACGCCCGCTCGCACCCTTGTCAGGCCTAGAGAAGAAGAAATATGACGACTGCTTGTGCCAACAACACTGTAAGGCATCAATATGCCAACACTTCGTATTTTGGCAGGCGACATCGTACCCTCGCATTCGGCCGCCGGCAACGGACAGCATGTCTTCCCGCTCCTTCCCACGAGGTTCGGGCAGCTTGAGTGCGTCAAGCATCAAAAACAACCTTAACAACGTTTGGCGCGCCAAGTATCCATGGCGAACTTGGCTCTCGATTAGGCGAGCTTAAATACGACGTTTGCAGATTTAGGCCATTGACCTATTCATCAGCCGTGCTACAATGTCAAATGCTCACAGGCTGCGGAACATGTTGCCGTGCTTGCCCTAAAGAGGATATTTTGCGGATGGGGATGAAGCTGAGTGTGGTGTCTTGATTGATCGGAAATCTACGTCAAGAGACCAAATGTGCTGACGTCGATATCAGATAAGAGATACCAGAAGAAGAAGAAGACATGTTCAAAAATTCCAGGATAATGAGCAGAAAATGTCCTCAATCAGCAATCCGACTCGCAAAGTTTACGTGCCCAACGCATCGCGCCTTTGTTGCCGAAAACTCGGGCCCGTCGCAGCAAAGACAAAAAACCCCAGCCACACAACACTGCAGGTGGATTGGCGACGCAGTCTCTCATGAGGACACAAGGAAGCCACAGGAAATGCGAGCCCGCTGCTGATGTCTCGGGCTTCCTCTACCGCAACTTACGCTCGGCCTGCATCTCACCCGGAGCTGAGAGTTTGTACTGCCCCGAAGCTCTGCAGCCGTCTTTGCCAGGCATCTTGGAAAATCAGAGACACTGTGCAAAGCAGCACTCTGACTGCAAGTGTTTCCAAACCACTCATGGTCAGTTGGGAGAACAGGTGTAACAAACAATGCTCAGCCCGGGTGCACTTCCACTTCTTCTCTGGGAGTCTCTTGCGACAGCTGCAGGTTCTCCACCAAGCGCTCGAGCTGTGCTTATAGCCATTTGGCTTTTCACTGCTTCAACTTGGTTTATCGATGACGCGGAGCGTTCGACTTGATAGACTTAAGGTTGCCGGATCATTGCTCTTCGCTTTAAGCATCCTGCTCGACCAAGATTTCGCGGTGATCACATCACCACCCTCCCTGAGAAAAAGAAAACAACATGTGCAGGAATCACGAAGCAAGATGTTGAGAAATCCTTGCTCCTGTTTCCTTGTGAGGAGGGACACAGGAGCCGAGGCGCTGCGGGTGAAGCGACGGACGTCTCTTCCACTTTCTTGCTGGTGCCTACTAATCCGGACCGTCGTGGGCTAGTAAAGAATATTGCCTCGAGGGGAGCGTGTTTGGAGTTCTCTATCCAAAAGATATTTTCCAATTCTTGCATTCTCTATCAACTACGGTTGCGACCGGCAACTAACGCAGTGCTCTCAAGTCACCGTTGAGGCTCGTCCCGCAACCGCACCTGCCTTCGCAGTTGGCCGTCGGATAATCGCCCACGACCGCAGTTAGCGCGTCCCCAACTCCCGGAAGACAGCGGCAGTCGGAATGCCGCGGCAGCGACTCTGTCAATCGGAGCTGGCATCGAGTGTCATGGTGTGGATGGGGATCAGTCAAATGCCCAGCCACCTCCTTGCGCCTGGAACCTTGCACCATGGCCTCAGGGCGCAACTCTGTTTGCGCAGGGTGGCTACTGGACGTTCATTTCGGCGATTGGCATGAGTCGCATCAGGTAAATTGGGCACGTCGGCGGCAGAAGCAGCGTAGAAGGACTCTAGAACGGCGGACGATGGCGCGCTCAGACCAGATGATGTACAGGACTTGGACAACGCTGGCGGCGAGATTATCAAAAGTCCATGAGCCACCACATGTCGAAATTGTTTGTCCATGAGCCCATCGAATTTCTGGAAGACGGGTGACAACTGGCACAGGAGCCGGGGTAGCGTGTTGGCGGAGCGGGCACCTCCTTGGCGGCCTAGGGAGGCTCTGCTAACACTTGCAGATGAGTCTCGAGGCCGCGCAAAGCTAATTGGCCCAATTGCGAAACAATAGGCATCTTCCGAGCCTGTTTACCCCAGAGAACCCTCCCCGGCTGGGAAGAACTGACATCACGCCGCTAAGGTGACAGCCTTAATCTAATCGGACATTAGGTGAACAAGCACCTGGCCAACAGCCAGCCCCAGCCGTGCGCCAGAGCGAGACTTGGCGCGACCTTCGACGACGCTTCTTCATGTACTCGGAAAAGGGTGAATCCCTTTAACCTAGCTTTCCTCGCGCAGGTTCCCCTGATGCCTTGACCATGGGCTCTGCTCCCCTGGCGCGGGGTTGCTTTCCTCTTGCCGACCAGTCAGAGCAACCAGAAGCCGCGCGCTCCATGGGACCACCTGTCCACCAGCGGAGCACACAAGCAAAATCCGGCCATTTTTAGCTCTCCTGCCAGCCATCGTCTGCCAATGCGGACAGTCCAGAGCCAGGGTGTCGCCAGTTACAGAAGACGAACTCTACATTCAGTCCCAAACCCAGCACTGGCCGCCCCGCACTGGCCACCGTATATGTGTTGTATGCTTTAACCATGTTTTGCTATAAGTCTTGTCTGTCTAATTTTTGGATTCGGCCTGAGCTCATTGGCGCGCAAGCGAGGCAGGAGCCAGGAGAGTGAGGCTTGACGCGCTCGTCCGTTGGCTGTGGCCGTGGCCTGACCTCCGCCGTTCCCGAGGTTTGGCTACCATGCGAAGCCTCCGAGATTGACTTTCGATTGAGAGTCTCTTTGCCGGGCTTGTCTGCTTAACGAGCTCCGTGGGCGTGGCCGTGGAGGAGGGGATGTGTAGTTGGAGTATATATACATTCGTGTCCTTCTCGCACCTGCTCAGTAGTCATCAGCATCAGATCAGCATTTACGACATCAACACCAAGTTCCAACATCAGTCATAATGAAGTGGATCCTCCCATCGGTTGCTCTCCTCGGCCTTGCCGCTGCGCTCCCCAGTGCGCAAGAGGATTCAAAGAAGAAGGAAAAGGGCGGTGGAAGCAGTGGAGGAGGCGAGACGAATATCATCTCAGCCGAAAAGGTCAAGGACTTTGACTACCGTGTCGGTCTTGAGACGTGAGTTTCCTCCTTTTGCCCAGGTCTCTACATGGTGGCTGACACCTTCAACAGTCTCAATGGCGAGACTCGCTACGTTGCCTGGGTCGGCGGCCAGCCTGTCTGCAACGCAAAAACCACCATTGGCAAGGGTGACACCGCATGGTGCACTCGTGACACTCTCATCCAGTACCAGGGCCAGTACATCAAGGTCCGCTTCTACAACTGCGAGGCGCTCAACCCGCATTCGCAAGTTTCGGATGAGGAGAAGACGTGCCCGAAGAAGGAGCAAGACTCAGACCCGACGAACGGCGAGAGCGACAAGTGCATGAGGCAGAAGGGTGGAGACAAGATCCAGGGTGTCTACCTCAAGCTTCTCGATGCCAACGGCGGCGAGGACTCCAAGTACCCCGATGTCCTTTGCGGCGACCTTCGCGAGACGTTCCAGTGCGGCCCTGCTCTTGTTGTCACGCGTCTTCAGGTACGATTTGCTTCTGCCCCCTCTATCACAACACGTGTGCTGACAGCTACAGTGCTCTCCTCCCTCACGCGGTGGGGCGAAGGCCAACGGTGGTCAGTGAGCGAAGGGTTTAGGAAGGCTGGACGTTGCGGGTGGGAAGTAGGAAGGTCGTTGATGTTGTTTGTGTCCGCACGGATCTTGTATATTGATGTGCAGCCGATATATCTTTTCCAATACAAGTTTCTCTCATCATCTTCAAGCCCGTTTCTCAACTTTGGTGTGTGCGGCTCCTGTCTGATTCCACTCGCGAGACTCTTGCGTCTTGGCTGCCTGCCCCGATCACTCCAGGTACCTCTTCTCTCACGCGGTCACTTGTCACTCGTCATCACCGTCGCTTTTCCCTCCTTTGACAACCTCGACTGCCGCCAGCTCAGACAAGTCATTCCGCTGCACGCGCGTCAAATTGCCCGTACGGTTACTTGCTTATTTTCTCCTGCCGCGTTGGTGCTGTGTCGCGTTGCCCTCCCCTGGTCTTCAACTTCGACCCAACGGCATATCACCACGACTCGCCCACCATACACACTGGAAAGCCAATTTCGACGAGATACGGTCAGCATCGTCTGGTTCACCACCTCCTCACAAACTCCCTCAACGACTTCAACAACCTACATACCCAACTCGCCTTCACACCATCATGGCGCCCTCCCAACAGCCCCAACCGCAAGACCGTGAGGCGAGGATGGAATGGCTCTGCCGCAATCTCAAGGACCTCACCGACGCGGAGGCCGAAGAGCTGATGACATACCTGAGAGAAGATGAGAGGGAGAGTCGTGAGTGGGGAGAGCAGAGGAGAAGGGAAGAGGCGGCGGCGCGGGCGAGAGAGGAACTCGAAAGGCGCAGGCGCAGGGGGGAGGATGTCGGAAATCCGACGACCTTTACTGAGATCACTGTCGCAGACGGTGGAATCGTGACCGTCACACGTGGGGAGTTGCAGCCAACTGTTGCTGGCGGGCAGTCCTCCAGCGCACCAGCACCAGCAGCACCAGCAGCCACCACGAGTGATCGACCTGCTGTGGCAGCGGGACAGAAGCGCAGCAATGAGGATGCGGCGCATGCTGCTTCGTCGTCGAACGAAGTCATCGCGTCTGGCTCAGCGCCGAAGAAGCTGAAGCAGTCCAGCGGCGAGGCCTCCACCAGCACAGCAGCAGCAGCAGCAACAGCAAAGAAGGATGACCAACCCTCCACAACGGCCCCAATCCCTC